TTTTGGAAATCTTGTTACAATATCTACCACTTTGTTCATCCCAATTAAGATTATTGAACAATTTATTTTTGACCTAAATTTGACTGGTGTTACAACTAGTACCCGACCTGAGGTTGATAACATGATGTGTTTATTGACACATTGTAATTTCTGTGCACTTCGATTTGAGTTGGAAACTCCTATGAGTTCTATGTTCATTTAATTGCAAAAGGCTAAGCACGTTGCCCAGTCAAAGTACACTAATCAATATGGGTGAGTTGCTAACAACATGAAAGAACTGGTGGCCTTTTAAGCTGTCATAAGGCAAGAAATTTAATAGCGAAGTTTGGTCCATCAAGGAAAACTAAATGTGATTTTGGTTTCTCCTAAACCTTGACTTATGACTGTAGGTTGAAAATGAAAGTTCTACATTGATGGAAACGTATGCACCTTCGAATCTAGGTGACAAAATTGTTTCGCTCTAATTCATGAAAATGATATTGAGGAAACACTTTCGTTGATAGATTTTAAAGATCTCATATAGATCAATATGGATATTGGTTGTATTCATTGCATTCTCAAATTCACAATATGATTATGGCATCCTCTTCATATTTTGAATTTTCAGAAATGGAAATGAAATGTTTAAACTTTCATGAGATATTTTTATCACGTCTTAAAAGAGTTTGAACATTTACACTATCCGGATAAAGTGCACAAGCTTAAGAAGCCTAATTAAAGGGTAGAAGAAGTATCACGAAATAGGAATTTGTACTTTCGTGATAAATTCAAAAGATATTGATTTCTAGAAGTCCATTTGATTTCTGAGTACATGTCAAAACTAGGAGGAGCATAAATTTTATGTTGGTATTGCATGTTGACAATACTATTCATAGGGAACAATGTGCCTAGTTTGAAATTTTGAAAAAGTTGGGAATAGTTTCGCTATAGTGAACTTAAGGAAGTGGGCACTCATACTTCGTTACAAATCTAAAGGTCTAGATTGTATTGTTTAATACAACCTAGTCAAATACATATATGAATAGCATGTTGAAATGCTTCAACATTAGATATTCTATATATGGAGATATTATAGAAAGAAATTAAACAGATATAAGACCCTTATAGTAATAAGTCGAGTCTCATATGCTTTGGATATAGCATCGACTACACATGCTATAATATTCAATTATTTCATGTGACAAGAGTTATTACACAAACAGACAAGAACATTCTAAGATTTCACCAAAGAATTGGTTGCTTGTGAACAGTTGGAGTAAGTTATTGCTAGGACAGACCATAGTGACATGTTCTTGATTGAGATGATTCTTGGTTAGAATATTGTTCATATGGGAATATGGAAGAGTTTCCATAATGGGAGATGTTTACAAAATCTACATATTAGTTGGAAACTTTAATGCAAGATAAGTGTTCAAGGAATGTACCTTGAATTTGAAACTTCATAAACATGGAATTTGTTTTGGTAACAAGTTCCAATGGAACATTTTGTAATATCAAAGCCTTAGTCTCTACGAATTTGGAACCTTGACATCACAGAAAGGAAATGAATGTAAAGATGAAATTCCACTAAATCATAGATAACGATAAGAACTTGGAATTTTGAAATGAGCATCATTGGAGTAATGTCCAATCGATATATTCACAAAGGAAAGACCATAGAGTGGCATAGTATGAAAGTTCACAACATGGCATGACTGATGTTATTTAATTCAAGTGGTTAGTTGATTGCTCGAAACATTATATAATAAATAAATTCGTAATTGTTATGGTCATTAAATAATATGGATTTATTTATAATCAATGGGTATAATATTGTAGTTAATTAATTTATTATTGTGTTTCACGTTGCATGTTTTACTTTCTGAGTAATTTTAATATTATTTATAATTCCACAGTCGTTCATACTTTTGGAAGTAAGTAGTGAATTAAGATTATTGTGAGTTGATTGTATATTGCCGTGTGAGGTTAATACATTGCAATTGGAATTGCTACAATATTCATGACTACTTTGAAAATAGAGATTTTAAGTATTGGATAAACCCACACTTAGAGATTACTTCATGGATTTTATTTACAAGTAATTCTAAGACGATAATATCTTATATTCTTAAAGCAGATAAATATAGCTCATAGTTTACAGATCAGTTGTGCATTGGTTTACTCAAACGTATCTGGTAACTGGATGTTATAAAGGGTTATGTCATGTGTGATTTGATATGTAAATCATATGATTATATAGTCAATGTAATTCGTTCCTTTTTCCCTAACAGGAAAAGTGATATATGTGGTCCCCTTAGTGATGTGTGTTGATCTATGAAAACCAGACACCTGGTCTCGACTGAATTGATGTGTTCGATTTTGTAGTAAAAAAATTGATCAGAAATCGAGAAATCGGGGAACATAACAGATGAACATGAGGTTGATCATTTAATACATGACCTGAATCATATGATATCTTTTTGAAAAAAGGAATAGTTGATCACTTATCTTAGGTCGAACGTCTCATTTTAATCAGAGTTCGGCAGTCATTTTCGAATGCACTCTTTGATGTTTAAAAGAAAAAGTCATTTTTGGGTTTCCCTCATGACCAGAAATAGCTTGAAATGATATTAGGAGAGAAAAGTATAATTAATTAGATTATTATATGATTAATAAACTAATTAGAAATTATAGGAAATGATTTGTAAATATATTGTGTGATTAATATATTAATTGGAAATCAACAGTTGATTTTTTAATTTATTATGTGATTTATAAATTAATATGAGATCAGTTTTTAAACAATTGATTTGTTAATATGTATGATTAATAAATTAATGTGAAATCAATTAGAATTGATTAATTATTAATCAGAATTAGTCTGGAATTAATTTGTGATTACTTGGAATTAATTGAAGGTACAAGGGGTGAATTATAAGTGTTCAATGATTGAACAATTCAAGCAATTATAGAACCATCCAAGGGGTGGACGGTTTTCGGAGCCTTTCCTAGGGTTTTTAGAAGCCTCCTGGTTGCATAAATGGAAAGGATTTTCATTAGGATTAAATATATTATTTAATTAATTCAAATATTGATTTGTCTGTAAGTTACCTAAACTATAAATAGGATCATTTGGCTATCGATTTTTTTTCACCACATTACCTGAAGGCATAGGAACGAAATTCCCTTCATATCTTCTCTCTCCTCCTCATTCTAGGGTTTTTGGTGTTGGGTGTGATCCATTAGAGGCATCATCCTTTTGCTGTTTTCTTTCCAAGGAACTTCAAGAGGATTAGATTTAATTATGTGCTATAATAATCAAAAGTATGTAACCCTAGTCATTATGTTAATTTCGATATTCATAGCCTCTCTCTAAGGTTTCTTGATGTTCCTAGTTTACTTTTACCAATAGAGAAAACATAGATCCTTTCTAGGTTGCATGTGAACTTATGAGTTTTAAGTATTTTTTTTGCCAGATGAATTTTTTATAACCTAGAAAACCCATAAGAAATCACAACTTCTGGGCTCCAGATATCGCATGTTAAAGGTACCAATTTATTGTGATTCTAAGAGTGAAATTGTTATTTCTCATAATCCAATTAAGCATTCTTTAACCAAACATATTAACATACGATATCATTTTTTGAAAGATAACATTTTGGATGGGAATATTGAAATCATTTTTGTTCCCACAACCGAAGAAACTGCAGATTTTATCACGAAGGCCCTTTATACAAACAAATTTTAATAATTTTCTTAATATGTTGGTAATACTCAATCCTAATCCCCTTATGTTTACCTAAGTCAACTTTGTGTCTGAATCAAGGTTGTAAAAGTCGTGAGGCGTGGCGTGGCGGCAAAGCCAAGCCTCAAGCTTAACGAGTCATGTCGTTTTTCAAGGTGTGATGTAAGGCGGCGATTATGTATTAATTTATAATTATATTACCACATAAATATAGATTTATATCATATATATAACTAGTTTTTATAAGTGTTATATCAACAACTAATAACAAAAATTTAACAAAAAACACAATACCTGTATGTCTGATTAGAAAAGGCATAAAAAAGAGCAACAATATGTGTGTCAAATGAAAAAACACACGCCATAACGCGCCATGGCATGCCATATCACACCTTTCCACACGTCACGCCTAACAGCAACGTTATGAGGTGTTTCGTAACGGTGAAGTTGCGCCTCACTCCATGGCACGCCTTGACGCTCGAATTGGTGTGTGTCATGGAATGCCTTTTAGAACACTAGTCTGAAGCCTCTAGTTTTTTTATTTGGTTAATTCTGATGTTTATTTTTAGAAGAAGTGTTCTTTAAGAGCATCATTAGCATATATTAGAAGCAATTATCTTGTCCTCTGATACATTCCTCTGGCTGAAGCTTTACCTTTTTTTTATCTAACCTTCTGTTTATATGATTTGAGTCCACAAGTTTTGCTCATAACATCCCATTAGAAGAAGTCATTTTTGAAGTAAGCAATGTTACAATAAAATAGATTTCGTATGATTTGTATTAAATGCTTAATCAATTTTATTCTTTTGGGACTCATTGTCCTCTCAAAGAACGTTCGCTCTCTAAATCATCATATTATATTTAATTCTTAAATCATTATCTCTTCAAAAGAACAACATTTTCAAATAAAAAGTACACATGTTAATCTCAAAAAGTTTCTTCCTCTCCAAGGGTAGACCCCTCCTTTCTCAGAAAATCAAAAGCAATCTTTAAGTCAGTTTATGGTCACATCAATTTGGGTTATTTGAACATCGATTACAATCTCACTCGAGTTTTTAATTTAATGACTCTATCATTATCATTTATTGCGTTGTACTTATCGCATTTTTTAAATATTTTTTTAACATGTCTGACAGTTCATAATCATATCTGGATAATCCCAAACCCTTAAATTCAACTTCATCCCACAATTATGACCCACGTTCTCAAAACCATTTCCGAACTCCTTCCTCTCTTTTAAACCTTGCTTGTTCACCAGACTCTCCTACTTGCAATTATGGCTAAATCTGGAACTTTAACCCAAAACCCTGGACCATCTGCCCAATCTAAACCATTATACAAACCCACTTCATGCAATCTTCAAGAAGTTCTTGATGCCTCACTCTGTGATGTCATTCTTGCTCCTTTGATTGATGTCCTAAAACATCACCCTCTTTATGTTACATTCACCATCACAACATCCAAAGTCCTTTTTGAATACCTGGTGGAGGCATATTTATCAGCCGCAGTTGATGATCCTTGTGACATAATTCAACTTCAATTAATAAATGACGATGTTGTGTATCTGAAAAAATACATCTTTCTTGAGTCCATCGGCCTTCCTGTGACAACCCAGGAAAATATGTCACCAACCACCGTTAGAATCTAAGGTTGTCAACAGTATGTATATGACAACCATGTAATCATTCGACAAATTAAATAAATACATTCAAATTTTGACCTTAATTACGTCAAAAAACAGGCTCATAAATAAGTGCATGAAAAATCGTGTCACTAAAGAGGAATTTAACATTTTTAGAATATAACACGTTTCCAAAAATATAAAATTAGTAAAAATCTGACTTAGTATGGAAGAGATATGATTTTTATGGTAAATAAAAATCTATCGCATACTAAAAGGTACAATGCCAAAAACTACGAGGAGAACAGTTGACTTTTGGCAGAAGTCACCAAAAGGATAGACGTAGTAGTACTACTCAAAGTAGAAATTTTGAGACACAGAACACCTAAAATGGAACCGGTATGACAGATTTATGATTTTTATAAAATAATAATAGTTATAAAATTTACGCTAAAACCGAAAGTTAGAATTGGCCAAAACGACCAAAAGGAAAGTTGTAGTGTACGTCGAGACCTACATGGATATATAAGAGACGTTTAAAATGGAGCTCGTATACGAGAAATACGAAATTTTAAAGTTTATTTTTTACCCACCCGCATTTCGGCGCATCAAACGATGGGACTCGTCAGGATACAGATGAGTGGCACGAGGAAAGCGGGATACGTGGCAGCTCCCTTTGGCTCACGCACACTTGTGCGACTTGCAGTCCAAAACTTGCTATAAATAGCAAGCCCCGATAGTTCATTATACACACGTCTAAGAACTTCACTCTCTTTCTTTATTTCCGTTCCACTATTTCCTGAGCACCTCTCGAGTTCTGGACCCCCTACTTTACCCTACATCAACGGTTTCACGCATCAAGGGTAAGCTCACGGCCCCACTTTATAGTTTCTAAACCTTTTGCGGGGGATATACATGTTACATCAAAATTGCTTTTCATAATTATTACTACTGTATAGCATTAGTTGTATAATTATGCTTAAAACACTAAGATAATATTATGTAGTTGTTCTTAGAACTGTAGCGTAATATTATGTCTGGTAGATACTCTACCCAACTTTTATGGATAATATTATGCCTAGATTTTACGCTGACTCAAACAATCATAAATTATGCATACTCAGTTGTTATGATGATAAAACGTTTAGGGAAACATTATACCTAGCTGTTACCTTAGCCAACCTATATCCACCGTTGGGATAGCCTTGTAACTATTGGTTACACTGCGCAAATACCCAGCTAAACCGAATACTATAACTTAGTTATATATATAGGGTATAATGTATATAAGTATAATAAGTATCTCGTATAAATACAACATAGAATAAAAACATGTTGGGCCAGTGGAGGATACACACAAACAAGTGTTTGATGAGACACAATTCATCCCTTGCTAAATAACTTTTAGCTAGCCTTGGCCAATAATTGTTAAATCTTAAGTGAGCGTGTAAGATATATATATATATATATATATATATATATATATATATATATATATGGGATTGACACTCCCACCTATGGTTGCTAGCTACAATCTGACGACAAGTCGAAGTAGGAATAACTTTTCTAAACTATTTGCGACGTCTAATGAAGCGTCGTAGTTTTGGAGATTATTATACACAGTCATAGCTCGATTATAGGAACTGATCGTAACATTGTTAAACTAATCTATCTAAAAACTGCTACTAGGAAATAAACCAAAGAAAGTAGTGATAGAACACAAACTCAAGTATGCGAGTTAAGGATAACAACCACTCTGGCATACACAAACCCTACAAAATGTTTTAAAGTATACCAAACCTGTGAACTCACCAACATTATGTTGACCGTTCAAACCACACGTATTCTCACGATGGGCGAGATCCTGGTGATGCGGCTAGTAGCTTTTCTGTTTTATTGTACTTTGATTTTGTAACGTACTTGTACCTTGAACACTTATGTGATATATATTATCCCCCATACCAATCAGGACTTATCTTTAATGAATTTGTTATGAGTTAGTAGCAGTTGATTTTGAAGTAAACACTTTGATTCCTCTACCACATTTTGAAGAAATGGACTCCAGCCAAGATGGCATTGAAAACGGAGATTTTGGAATAACTAAGACTCTTGAGTTAAGAGTTGTTTATGGAATCCATGGTATCGAAGACAAGCATTTCATTTCTTTTATTCAAAAGCATAGTTGCTCAAACTCCTTACTCAAAAGTCTTATGGATATTGCTCTACAATCTCCTGAAGCATCAACTTCCATAAAGATGGAGATTATAAATCAACTTGAGTGGATTTTTTCAAAAGGGACATTAATTACGTGAACAACTCTCAGGATATTTAAAGTCAATGGTGGCTACGATTACTTAGGGAGAGATTGTTAAACCTGAAAGTGACCGTTCGCAGAAGTTTATCCTTAGTTGATGGCCGAAGGAGTAATTCGTCCGAAGAATAAGCCATCTGAAAGCATCACCAGCAGAAGATCATCAGAAGTACAGAAGAAGTTGACTTATGTTTTTTTTATTTTAATGATATGTAGTTACTACCTGTTACTTTGTAATGATTGCTAGGTCCTTATCCAGTTAGTAGATTTTTTACAATCTCTTTTCAGTTGATATTTACGAGATTAACCTTATCTTGTGTCTATAAAAAAGAGAATTGGAATGTGGTTCTCCTTACACCTTTTCACTATCTTGTTAGACAATCTTCTCATCAATATAAGAGTGTTCTTTGTCCATCAGGTTTGTTTACTTACACTTTTTTTCTTTCATTATTATTCTATATATCAGTTGTTAAGTTTAATATCTTTTGCACTTTACTTACTTAGCATTTATTAATATTCATTCATGGTTTCATCGCATTTCTCAAGCTAATATTTTCCACTTTTGCAACGTTGGGACGTTATTTCCTATGTGTAGTATGTCATCTACATACAATACAAGAATACTATAGTGTTCCCACTGGCTGTAACATATACGCATGGCTCATCTTCACTTCTTGAGAAACCAAACACTATGACTTTTTCATCGAAGCAAATGTTCCAGCTGCAAGATAATTGCTTGAGTCCATAGATGGACCTCTCAAGCTTACACGCTTTATTTGGATACTTAGAGTATATAAAATCTTTAATTTGTTCCATCTACATATCCTCTGTCAGTTTTCTTCATTTGTCATATTTCATAATCTTGAAATGTTGCTAAGGCAAGTAGTATCCTAAAAGACTTGATTATCGCTACTGGTGAGAAAGTTTCTTCATAATAAATTCATTGGTCTAAGTATAACCCTCCACAATTATTAAAGCTTTGAACATATGTACATTCCCATTTGTTAGGGCAAGGATCCTTAAATATTCAAGATCCTCAAATATCCAGGATCCCAGCTATCATCGTTATTAATTTTATTAACAATTCATAACGGTTATATTTTGTTCATAACTAATACATGTGCAAAATATTCAAGGTAAGACCAATTCTCAACGAAGAATCATCTCAAGTATGCTAAAGACCTGGAATACTTGGTCAAATAACGTTCGTGAAGTTGGTCATAGAGGATCCCGGAAATATCGGACATCTTTTTGGCTAGTTTAAACTATAAATTGACACTTGTATCTCACACACAACACACTGTTTTTTACTAAAAGCTTACTCTACAAAATCATTCACTTGTTCTTATTAAAATATTCTCTGTAATCGTCATTTTACATTAATAAAATCATCAAGGCAAGTGATCGTTGTCACCTCCCAAGGTTTTGTGCCAGAGGTCCTAGCAAGGATCAAGGGCTTTCCTTGTAAACCATTGTGTCACTCTCTTTTATCATTTTCTATTTCACAATTCGAACATCACAGCCCCTCATTCAATTTGGTTGATTAGTACTTGTGTAATTTTTGACCAAAACAATTTGGCGCCCACCGTGGGTCCATGGTGCTCAAAATCCTCAAAAAAATCATGTCTACACAACCGTTCCTTTCTTCGTCCTCTATTCCTTCCATTCCAACAAAAAACCTACCACTTCCTCCGAGTGGGCCCCCTACTCAGAGGAAAACGCCTGGCACTTCCAGGAAAAGCACCCCTTCGGTCACTAACCAAGGAAGTTTGGGAACTTCAGGACTCTAGGATTCGACCACCTCAGTCACTACTGCAGAACTCTTCGCTATGATGAGGAAAATGACACAACAAGTGACCCAACAGCAGGAGGAGAATAGAGCACTGCTCAAAGAAGTGGAAAGGATGAAGGCGGAATTTCAGAAATCCTAGGAAACAACGCCCACAGTTGTACAACCAAGGATCCTGAACTTTGATAATGCAAGATCCTCATAAAATCACCAGAAGAACACAGCTCCTACCACTGTGTCGTCGCCCTAGGGGACAATTATGGACAACCGATCATCTATGATCAATGATCTCAATGAGCCTTTCAACACTCCTAGAAACCTTGATTCTAGTAACTTCTTAAACAAGAATACTATTAATACTAACTATACTAACGTTGATGCAGGAATAAACCCATACATGGACAGGGAACTTCAGCAGTTGAGAGAAATGATCTCAAGCGTACCCGGGGTGGTCCAACCTATACCAAAAGTGTCACTAACAAGTCACAGGATCTCGAGATTTGCTCTCGCGATAGCGGATACCGAAGTTCCTAAGCGCTTCCAAACTCCTAGCATGAAGCTTTACGATGGAACTACGGATCCTGAAGAGCACATAGCGCAATACCGAGAAAGGATGGATATCATTCCCATCCCAGGGCACTTAAAGGAAGCTTGCCTATACAAAGGGTTTGGCTTAACCCTTACAGGATCAACTCTCAAATGGCTGGTAAACGTTCCCCCATACTCTATTACTTCTTTTGCACACTTAGTCAATATTTTCAATAACCAGTTTTCTCGCAGTAGAACCTTTGAGAAGATCACTAGTGATCTCTATCAATTGGTCCAGGATTCTAAGGAAAGACTTAGGGATTTTGTTAACAGGTTTGGCAGGGAAGCTCTGAGCATCCCCAACATCGACATTGATATTGTTGTAGATGCCTTCAAGAT